TATTCAGTTTGCAGATGACACCCAATTGGGTTGGACAGTTAACATTGATGACTAAACTAGGATCCAAAAAAAAAAAAAAGCTCTTGACAGGCTAAAGCACTGAGCCACACTGCATAAGATGAAATCAAATAGGATAAATGTCAAATCTTACACTTGGGGATTTCAAGAGATCAGCTTCACAAATACAAATGGCAGAGGTGTGGGCGGATGGCAGTTCATCTAAAAAATGTCTGGGGTGGCACCTGTGGCCCTTGATCTACCTGTTTCTGGTGCCATGACTTTCCCTGGCTCTCTGAGCCCAAACTGTAAGAGAAAGGGGTGGGATAATGTATAAGGAAAGGATTTTTCAGGAGCACAATTGCTCCTAATCTGCTGGTGGCAAGGGGCCCACCACGGAAGCTTTCTCTCCCATAGAGCTCAAGAACCCGCATTACCCTTGGGCATCTTCCAGAGTCCACCATAGTTCAGATCTGTGAACTTCTCTGTTAGGACTGAAAAAAAGATCCATGCTCCCCCATGGCAGCAGCTAGGTGCTTCCCCTGTCTAGTAACCACGAGTTTGTGCCTTTTAACTAAAGCCTCAGGGCCCCAGGGTGGATGATGCCAAGCTCAGTATAGTTGTGGGTCCTTCATCACATATTGGGGTACCCATAGTATGAGGTCATGAGCCTCCTGCATGCGTACTATCCTAGAACCTGGGCTGATCCCAAGGCTTTTTCCCTAATCAATATTCCCTCTCTGGGGAGGTGACCCAACCTTTGCCCCCTTTGAGACCTTGGCAGTGGGGCAAAATTAGGACTTGCTTTCCCGTTCATCTGAGGACTCAGAATGACCATACGGGGGCCAGGGAATTCACTGTACTGCAAGTAAACACACATTCACCATAGTCCTATAGCAAGTTCGCATGCTATTGGAAAAAGAAGGTGCCTCCCAACAGCACCATCCCTGGTCTCCTGAGGAGTTTTTCTAAACCATCTTAGAGAAAAGTGACTCTATTAATAGAGGAGAATCCAAATTCTTTCTCCAGGTTATATGTATGGATCCCTTGGAAAGGATAAACAAGACCCTGGTGACTCTTCACCATCAGTTAGCCAGTCAGCCAAGAAAGATTTAATAAGCACCTACTATGTGCTAAGCACTGATACAAAAAGAGACAGGAGGCAATCCCTAACCTCAAGGAACTTATAGTCCAATAAGGAGGAAGGAATGAGGAAAGGCCAAGGGGAATCAGTCAGAACTATGTACAGAGGCAGTCCATTCTTAGCAGGCAAGTCTGTCTGGAGATCCGATTCCAGAAACTACTGGACTGGAGAGGCCTGCCTCTTCCTAGGCTGATGTGGATTCATCGCCGACATGGACCCTGAGAGGCTGGACAGCTGACCTGGCCAATCAGATGCACCAAGATGCAGCTATTGATCAGCAGGGGCAAACCAAGACGGGACGAGTGGGACATTATGCTAGGTGAAGACAATTTGGGGCACAGTTGGGTGATCTGAGGGCTCTGATTGGTGCAAGGAACCCAGTTAGGCAAGCATGGCTACTTCATTCTCAGACAGGGGATCACATGGTTCCACACACACAGTACAACATCATATACCTCCCCTGTCCCCATAGCAAGCATCTAGCACAGTGCCTAGCATATAGTAGGTGCTCAATAAATGTCTGTTGACTGACTGGACTGATTGGCAACGAACCCAACCTCTGCCATTTTTGAAACAGCCCCAACCTGGTTAAGTAACTTTGTTTCAGCTTCTGGTGGGTGTAGAAATGTCACACAAACAACTGTAAGCAGTGGGGAAAAAATCAGCAAAATGTCTCCATTTTTCATGATTCCCAACAAGGACAACTTTGAACTGTCCAGTGGAGGGCCAGCCCTATGGCCACCGCCTAAGAATTAGAGTAGATGGCTATCTTCTCTGTCCCATTCCTCAAGGCTCTCTCACATGCCTACCTACAGCCTGGAGCTCAACACACTGGGCAGACTCACCAGGATCTGCCCATTCCCTAGGGTATCTCCTCTTATTAAGTTAATGGACACTGAAGCCACATACGTGCCTCTTAATTCTAGTTCCTTCTCTTGAATTATTTCCTATTTTTCTTACATGTAGCTGTTTGTACATATTTGTTTGCTCGTTGGCATCAAGGTCAGCTACCTCACTGATGGTAAATCCTTTAACTTGAAAAGGCTACAAGCCAAGACCAAAGCGGAGGGAGGGTTGGTCCATGATCTTCTGTTTGCAGATGATGGTGCACTCAATGCAGCCTCTGAAGCTGAGATGCAACAAAGTATGGATCGATTCTCTGCTGCTTGTGCTAATTTTGGCCTAACAATGAACACCAAGAAAACACAGGTGCTGCATCAGCCACCACCACACCATCCATACGTGGAACCATCCGTTACAGCAAATGGAGAAAGTTTGAATATTGTGGATAAATTCACTTACCTTGGCAGTATATTTTCTAGGGATGTGCACATGAATGATGAGGTTGTCACACACATTGTCAGAGCTAGCTGAGTATTTGGGAGGCTCTGAAGGAAAGTGTGGGAGAGAAGAGGTATTAGACTGGGTCTACAGAGCCCTTGTGATGACTTCATTGTTGTGTGCCTGTGAAACCTGGACAGCCTGTGAAACCAGGAAACTGAATCGCTTCCATTTGAATTGTCTTAGGAAGAGTCTGAGGATCACCTGGCAAGATAAAGTACTGAACATTGAGGTCCTCTTTCAAGCTAAACTGCCAAGCATTCCAACCCTACTGCAGAGAGCAAAACTCCAATGGGCTGGTCATGTTGCTTGAATGCCAAACCTAGGCTTGCCTAGAAGACCATTTTACAGAGAACTCACAAAGGGCAAACGTTCACACGGAGGTGAGAAGAAGCGACGCAAGGACGCTTTCAAGGTCTCTCTCAAGAACTTTGGAATTGATTGTGACATGGGAGACAGTGGCACAGGATGGCTCAGCATGGCATACCCTCATCAGAGAAGGCGCCGTGCTCTACAAGTGAAGTGGAATTGAAGTAGCTCAAAAGAAACGTGAGATGTACAAAATTAGAGAATCCACCCTGAGTGTTCACGTGGACTACTCGTGCCTGACCTGCGGTAGAGCATTCTGAGCTCATGTTGGTCTGGTCAGCCGCAGTCAGCCACACTGGACTTTAACCCAGACACGGCGACACAATTTGGTCCTCTCTGAGCGCAAAGGCCAATGATCAACCACCCAATGGTTTTGTGTGTTTCTTGTCTCCCCCATTAGTCTGTGAGCTCCTTCAGGACAAGGACTGTCTTTTGCTAATTTTTTGTACCTCTAGTGCTTGGCACAATGCTTGCTTAATAAATGTTTAGTGACTGACTGACTGGATGGATGGAGCCATGGAGGATGCAAAATGTCATTTTCGGGATCCAGGTTAGGGTTGGGTTAGGGTTCCAGGGTCTCTACTGGAGGCCTCAGTCTCTTGACTGTTCATAACCTGTTTGTGAAGGAGATTTGGAATGGGTACAAGTTGGGAGGGGAGGGTGACCTTGAAGTTTCAAGCCTGAGTGACTGGGAGACTGGTACCCTACTTGAGGCGCCCACGGGCCGTCCACCTGGAGACGTCTAAGAGGCAGTCAGCAGCACAAGCCTGCGGCTCAGGAGAGAGGCCAGAGATGGATGCTGAGGCTGATAGACCACATCATTTAGTTCTCTCTCCTTATCCTCATTACTTTTAACAGTGTTGGTCCCCAAACTCTGCATGCCTTTCCTTTCTGCCAGGCTAAAACCTTTTGATCCTTCCATTATATTAGGAGGCAAGAGGCATGGATAGGACTGTGGCTAACATGTGGATTGCAAAGAGCATAAATAATTAGTGTGGCTTCTGCATAGGATAATGGAGCCAGCAGAGCCCAAAAGGGAAGCCAAGGGCCTGCATCTTACTGGTTATCCTCCTTAAGTCTGAAGGTACATTCAGACACAAAAGACTGTGGCTTACAGGGGTGTGGTTTGGCTTTTCTGTTTTTTAAGTTAATGCTTTGACAACCATCATTGACCTCTCTCAGAAAGCCCGAGGGAGGGCAAATGATTGCACTGAGAGTCCTAGGAGCTGCTCCCTTTCCAGAGGGTGTACTACCAATCCCAAAAGAGGATATTGGTGACACTCTAGAACCTGGGCCGATAGTGTTCCTTGATGGGGAATCAGCCAAATTGTCTCCTGCATGAAGGGTGCAGGTGTCATTGGGGAAAGAGTTGGTGAATTATGAGGAACACGGGACTGAGTCTGACACTTGGAAGTGTCTGAATTTCTGGCATATTGATGTGGCAGCTGAAGGACAAAATTCCTGTAGTCACCAGGGAGCGGGCTAGGCTCCCTGTGACTGGTTGGGTCAGTCTGTGTTCTGTTTGGGCAGAGTTAGATCATCTCTGAGATATCTGTGAGGAGGCGGTCAGTGAATAAAATGTATTAAGCACCTACTACGTGGCAGGCACTGGGCTAAGAACTGGGGAGCAGCCAAAGGTGACCCACCACATCCATTCTGGAAGCCAAGACCTTTATCTTCGTTGGGAAGGAACATGGGACTCCTCTTAGCCCTGGGGTGTGGCATCTGTGTACCAGTGGGCCTTGCTTGCCCCTGGGGACCTTCCGGCCATCCCCAGGCTCACCACTAGTGGGCAGAGACGGGTTAGGTGAAGTAGGTGGTGAGCCAACATCTAAGGGAGCCATCCGGTAGCATCACATCCGACGTCTTGATAAGTTGAGAGAGCACAGAGAGCGTTTGAGATAGGCCTGGAAGGAGCGAGGAGAACTTGGCCCTGACCCTTCTAGAGGCTCCAGCCCAGGGCCGGATGAAGTGACAAGACTACTGGTTCTCTAGACCACGTCCCTGAGCCCATACATGGAAAGCGTTGACACATTTCACGTGTGCCTCGAATTGATACAGAACAATCTCTTAACCAGTCAGCACAGGAGATAAGATGAGAAGTCTCCCGGGCTTGTCCATTACAGTTTCAGCAGGAGAAAGCCCAGATCTTTTATTGCTAATCATAATAGCTAATGGCATTTATAAAGACCTTTAAGATATGCGAGGTGCTTTAGAAAGATCATTTCGTTTGATCCTTAAAACAACCTTGGGAGGCAGGGGCTATTATTAGCCCCATTTACCAGATGAGGATACTGAAGTACCACCCAACTTCCCCTCGTACTCCTATGATAGATCTTATGAGGACTATGTGGAGTGCATTTGGTCTTTTAAATCCAGTGTCAACGCACATTTCAGCTCCTTTATTTTTAAAAATTATGTCTTGCTCTGCTGGCCTTACGGAATCAGGGTGATGTGGGAAGTATTGCAGGCCCCTGGAGATTCCTTTCTCGGCTGGTCCTGGGTGGCAGGTGCCTGTCACTGCTGGGAGGCAGGTCAATGATTGTCTAGGAATGAATTCCTTCCAGGGCCTCTCACTAATGGACGGTATTTGCTTTTGGACGGGTCTCCTCCCTTCCTGAGTACATAGGGACAACTGATAAATGTTACATAATGGGGATGGCCAATGAGCCCAGTCCCTGGGAGCATGCACAGTGTTTTCTGCTAATGCAGAAATGCATGTGGGCTGGAACACGCACAGACAGTCTATAACTGGTCACAGCCGCTAACCATGTGCTGCTGAAGAGGAAGTCTGCACTGCATGCAAGAGGTATTAGTCAGCCAGGGACAGGGCCTGACTCACTCCTGCCTTCTCCTCCAAGCTGGGAGGCAAAGATTGATCCCTTGGTGGGAAGGGACACCTTTCCTCTTTATTGTGGTCCATGAGCCCTCTACCTTACTGTGGCTTCTGGATTTATTCTTCCTGGTTTTAAGTGAATATGATTAGAGATGTCTATGATCCTGAGTTCAAATCTGGCTTCAAACACTTCCTAGCTGTGTGACCCTGGGCAAGTCACTTACCCCCACTTGTCTTAATTTCCTCATCTGTAAAATGAGCCAGAGAAGGAAATAAAGAAGACTATTCCAGTATCTTTGCCAAGAAAACTCCATGAGGAGTAAGACAAGACATGACTGAAAAACAACTGAAAATGATCCTGAACTCTGGAAAGTCAAGAGAATGTGCCTCAGAAAGTCTGGGTTTTGCAGCCAGACAGTCCAGCATGGAGGCCCCAAGCAATAACCTCCAGGACTCAGACTCATTCTGCGGCTATGCTTCATTTGACTTTGAAGTTGGTAGCACCAATAAATGCTATCGTAGAAACTGCCTCAGGTCTGAGTCTGCTTGTAAATATTATTTTGTGAAAGCTAATTGATGTTCAATTGAATTGGGGTGTTAATTATTAGCTGCTGACAGAGGGGGAGACACACCAGAGTGTAGGTATGATGTAGCCAGCATCACTCCGGAAAAAGTGAATCCAATTTCATTGCTGCAATTAGAAAAAGCAACATTTTTACATTTGAATAAAATCAGTCTGAATTTTTACAAAGTCATTCACTGAATCGACATTTGTTAAGCACCTACTCTGTGCCAGGCATTGTGCTAAGCAACAGGGATGTGAAGAAAGGCAAAAGACAGTCCCTGCCCTCAAGGAGCTCACAGGCTAACAGGGAAGGCTGCATGCAAACAGCTATGAACATGCAACCCTTTTTAACGATCTCTTTGGGGTACAGCCATAGTAGTTGTATTGCCAGATCAACACCCAACGATAATCAGACATCTCCATTGGCTACGTGGAGATCTGCGTGAGAAGGAGGGACTGGTGGCGACCTGGGATTCTCAGGGGTCTTCCCAAGTGGGATAGAGCCAGTTTTCCTGCTTGGAGTAGATGTCCTGATCATAAGCACAAGGAGTAAGGCACCTGGACTTTTCAGCCCAGAGCCTAGCCAGCTCACTTTTCAAAATAACCTTCTGTCTCTCTGCTACTTGTGCTAATTGATGGTGGTATGGTTAACAGCAGACCCAATAATAACAGCTATGAGCAAGCTAGCATGTTTACACTTCAAAGCACTTTGCTTACGCTAGCCAGCCCTCAAGCCCTTATTAAGCTAACTCTGTGCCAGCCGCTGGGCGAAATACTGGGGACACAGAGATATCCTGTGAGGTAGGTGCTAGTGTTACCTCCCATTTTACAGATGAGGAAACTGAGGCTGAGCAGCACTAAAAGGATTTGCCCAGGGTCACAAAGCTAGCATAAGCATCTGGGGTTTGAACTCAGGTCTTCTCAGCTCTAGGTTCAGCTGTTCTAGCCACTGTGCCATCTGGTACTAATTCATGAGGCAATTGTAAAGTTCTACACATTGCCATTCAATTATTTCATTCGTTTCTGACTCTTTGCGACCCTAAATGGCAAAGACACAGGAGTGGTTTGCCATTTCCTCCAGAGGAAACTAAAATTAAGAGGCAGCAAAACAGAATATTGGAGAGCTGCATTAGCCCCGGAATCAGGAAGACCCGATTTCAAATCTTACTTCAGAAGCTTAATCCTCGGTGACCCTGCGTAAATACGCTTAATCGGTCTCAACCTCAGCTTTCTCATCTAAAATGGGGATAATAATAGCACTTACCTCCCAGGGAGGTTGGGAGGATCTGTATGTGTATCAAATGCTTTGTAAATCTTAAATCATTAGGTAAGAGTGAGCTATTATCATCGGCATTTTCATGCTGGGCAACCACAATCAGGTGCCATTCCAAAGGCATAGAGAGAAACAGTGGCAGACTTACAGGAGCGCCATGAATGAGGAATAGCCCTGACACCCCCTCCACCCCCGGTCAGCAGGGGCTGGTTATCCCTCCCTCCCCAAGGTCACACCTGAGAAGGGTTTGGAGGCTGCACCTAGAGGAGGGGCCTCTGCTGGGGAGGGAGGGCAGGGCTGCTCTGCTCTCCATGGGACACGCTAAGGAAGCAAACTCCGGGCAGGCTCTGCTGGAGTTTCTCCTCCGAGGCCTGATAGCCTTTGGGGGTGTGGAGGGGGAGTCCGCCCTGCGCACCTGCAGAGCAGGGGAGGGCAGAGGGACTCCCTGGAAACCCAACACCTTCTGGAGAGGTCGTGTGAAAACGGGGCTGATGAGTCTCTTGGGGGTCAGCCCGGCCCTAAGCGCCTGCTGGAGGCGGGGAAAGCAACCAGAATTGACCATCAGCGAGTCTGGGGATGGACAAGAAAGCAGAGCCCAAATCCTGGGCCGGAAAAGAACCCCCGTTTAGGGGAATGCAAGGTGATACGTCCATGGATTTGGGCCAGCTGAGCAACAGGGAACCCACAGCCCTTCCTTAGGTCTTAGACACCCCATAAGTGGCCTTGCCACATGTCTTACCAGGTGGCAGAGGAATATTACGAGGGCGGGCTGTTGGACTAATCCTTCCTTGTTTGCTGTGGTAACTGACAATCAAACTTTGTTTTTAGAGGGCAGAAGAAAAAAAAAAGCTGCCTTAATGAATCCTTAGCTGGGACTAGAGAGAACTGAGGAATTGGGGACTAGGGTTTTGTGGGATTTAGCTCAATTCAACTGGTTCTGCCTTTGAAATGCAGCCCACCTTGTTGACTCGCTGAGACCGCAGACATTCCGGGGCTTGGCTCAGAATTGACTCTGGCAGCTGCAAAAGTGAGGAAAATGGAGACGGTTACTCCAGCAGCCTCCCACTTTAGCCCTAATCCTAAATACCTCCGACTCTTAGAGCCCAGGTTTGACAATGGCACCCCACCCTCAACAAACTCCCATGGCTCCCTATCAGCCCCTGTTTGGCTTCTAAAGCCGCCCATAGCCTAGCACCTCTACAATATGCCACCACCCTCGACTCCAGCACGTAATCTTTTGTCAGTGACATGGCACGCTGCCTCACTCTTCCATCTTCTGATGCTCCCCTGTGATTGGAACACCCTCCTTCTTCCACTCTGCCTCTTACTTCCCTGGTTTCCTTCATTTGCCAGCTAACGTCTCTCCTTCCGTGAGAAACCTTCCTGATCCTCCTTAATCCTAGTCTCTTCCCTCTAGCGATTATTTCCAATTTATCCTGTTTATAGATTGTTTGTACCTAGTTGTTTACACATGTTTCCTCTCTTAGACTTTGAGCTCCCTTAGAGCACGGACTGTTTGCTTTCCTTTGTGTGCCCAGTGATTGGCACAGTGCCTGGCACGTAGGAGATGCCTGATATGTGTTTATTGACTCACTGGCTGATTGCCAAATGGCCCATGCACGTAGGACCCGAGTTCACTATCCGGTCATATCTCACCTTGCAAAGGAGGTCTGAGTGAAAAAAGCACAGAAGGGGTGTGACAGTCTCAGAAAGGGCTTCAGAACCAGGTGGGGAATGACGTGTTTAGCAATGACCACTGAGTGAGCAGTAGGGAGGTCAGGGAAGCCCTGGCTATGGAGAGAGGAATGGCTAACTTTAGCGTCCTTCAGACAGAAAACTTCAGAGACATATTTGGAACCAGTCAGGTTATGGTTTCCCTGACAGCAATGATGAAGTGACAGCGCCTCTGTTTGCCCTTAGTGGGGAGGTCTCGGGGGAGTTCCCCCTGTCTGGTAGGATGCGGGCACTCTGGTTTCCTAGGAAGCTCTCCTCCTGAGGGACTAGGTCTGATGACCATGCTGGTGTGCCCTCCTTCCTGCCTTCACTTGGCCTTTCTTCTCTGTTCCTTCTCCAGCCCCTGGATTGGGTGGGTCAGGGCTCTGGATTTAGAAAGCCATCCATTTCTGCTCAGTGACATCTTTTTTCTTATTTGGGAAAGAAAGACAGTGGTCCGCCCCAGCCACAAATTCCTGTAGGCATTTGGTCTGTCATACAATACAGGCACCGAGCAGCTGATCATGTAAAGTCAATTTTTAACATTCATTTTAAAAAATTTTGAGTTCCAAATTCTGTCCCTCTCTCCCTCTCCCACTAGACATTAAGCAATTTGATATAGGTTATACACGTTCAATCATGCAAAACATATTACCATGTTAGTCATGTTGTGAAAGAAGAGCCAGACCCAAAGGAAAAAAAAAAGAAAGAAAAAGAAAGTAAAAAACAGCACGTTTCGATCTGCATTCAGACTCCATCAGTTCTTTCTCTGGAGGTGGAGAGCATTTTTCATCATAAGTCCTTTGGAATTGTTTTGGATCATTGTATTGCTGAGAAAAGCTAAGTCATTCACAATTCTTCATTGTACAATATTAGTGTGTACAACATTCTCCTGGTTCTGCTCACTTTACTTTGTATCAGTTCATTTAAGTCTTTCCAGATTTTTCTGAAATCATCCTGCTTGTCATATCTTATAGCACTATGATATTCCATTACAATCATATACCACAACTTGTTCAACCATTCCCCAACTGATGGGCAGCCCCTCAGTTTCCAATTCTTTGCCACCACAAAAAAAATCTTATAAATATTTTTTTTTAGTCCCTGCCCCCCCCTTTTAAAATTTCTTTGGGATCCAGACCTACCTGTCAGTGGTATTGCTGGATCAAAGGGTATGTACAGTTTTATAGCCCTTTGAGCACAGTTCCAAATTTCTCTCCAGAATGGTTGGATCAGTTCACAAGTCCATCAACAGTACATTAGTGACTCAATTTTCCCCTATCCCCTCCAATGCCAGATTGTCTTTAGAAAATTTCTGTAAGAGTATTAATTGGGGGGGAGGGGAAGTGTTAAATACACAGAATTTAAAGTAGACTCCATTTGCATTTTTTCATCATATTGCTAAGACATATTTTTTGTTGTTCAGTGGTATTCAATTCTTAGTGACCCAATCTGGGATTTTCTTAGCAAAGATACTGGAATGGTTTGCCATTTCCTCCTCCAGCTCTTTTTACAGGTGAGGAAACAGGCATACACAGTTAAGTGACTTGCCCAGGGTTACACAGCTAATAAGTGTTTGAGGCTAGATTTGAACTCAGGAAAATGAGTCTTCCTGACTTGGGGTCTAGTCCTCTATCCACTGTACCACCTAACTGCACCTTTCTAAAATTATGGGATTCTTTCACCAAGCCTTGAAGGTTACCTGGGGCTCAAGAGTGGCAATCTCTGATCAAGTCCCCAAAGAGATGCAATGATTACTTCATTATCCCCTGTAATTAATTCATTATCAAGCAGGGGGATTATACCTTTGACAAACATTTAAGTTTAATGTGCATTATTAACACTTCCCCCATAACTTTCTTCAGTCTAGAATCAACAAAGCCATAAGTCAAGCTCTGATTTGTAGTGCTTGCCAATTTTGAGGTCACACAGCGAGTAAGTGTCTGGGGCCAGATTTGAACTCAGGAAGATGAGTCTTCCTGACTCTCGGCCCCAGCGCTCTATCTACTGAGCTACCTAGCTGCCTTTTATTAAATAATATAACAATATTAATTTTTCTTGGAACCCAGAAGTCATTTACAGACTGTCCCATAAATTAAAGGAGTGTAAGGATTACTTAGGGCAGCTAGGTAGTGCAGTGGATAGAGTACTGAGCCTAGAGTCAGGAAGACCTGAGTTCAAATCAGGCCTCAGACACTTACTCCCTGTGTGATCTTGGGCAAATTACTTAACCTAGTTTGCCTCAGTTTCCTCATTTGTAAAAATGAGTTGGAGAAGGAAATGGCATACCACTCCAGTAACTTTGCCAGGAAAACCCCAAAGGAGATTTGTGAAGAGCTGGATAGGACTAAAGCGGCTGAACAGCATCAGACTGTCTCATCATTTACAGGAGCATAGGAGCCACTGGAAACCATCTCATAAATTAGCCAAGGCCATAGCCTAGGACTAGGTGCTAAATCTGGGGAAGCCAGCTAGGCTTTGCTCTAAGGGCTCTCCTCAGACCTGCTCACTGTCCATGGTCTGTAAGCCTCAGAGAGGCTCCGCATGTGTGCAGTAAGACCAGTTGGTTGGCTGTTGTCCTTTATGCTTGAAGAGGACTTAATGACATCATTACGTAAGGGTCAATGTACAATGTGTCCGACTGTGGCTGATTAGACCAACACAAGCATGGAAGACTCTACCACAGGCCAGGCACAAACAATCTATATGACTGTTTGGGAAGGAGACGTCTCTAAATCTGGACATCTCACATTCTTTTGAGCTATTTCAATTCTGCTTCACTCATAGAGCACGGCACCTTCTCTGATGAGGGTGTGCCATGCTGGACGGTCCTGTGCCAGTGTCTCCCATGTCTCACAATCAATTACAAAGCTCTTGGGAGAGACCTTGAGAGTGTCCTTGTGTTGCTTCTTCCGACCACCATGTGAGAGCTTGCCCTGTGTAAGTTCTCCATAAAATAGTCTTTTAGGCAAATGTAATTTGGCATTCAAATAATGTGGCCAGACCATTGGAGTTATCCTCTCTGCAGTAGAGTTTGAATGCTTGGCAGTTCAGCTTGAGAAAGGACCTCAGTGTCTGGTATCTTATCCTGCCAGGTGATCTTCAGAATCTCCCTAAGACAATTCAAATGGAAGTGATTCTGTTTCCAGGCATGGCGTTGGCAGACTGTTCAGGTTTCACAGGCATACGACAATGAGGTCAGCACAATGGCTCTGCAGACCTTCAATCTGGTTGGCAGCCTAATACCTCTTCTCTCCCACACTTTCCTTCAGAGCCTCCCAAATACTGAGCTAGCTCTGACAACGTGTGTGACAACCTCATCATTCATGTGCACATCCCTAGAAAATATACTGCCAAGGTAAGTGAATTTATCCACAATATTCAAACTTTCTCCATTTGCTGTAACGGATGGTTCCATGTATGGATGGTGTGGTGGTGGCTGATGCAGCACCTGTGTTTTCTTGGTGTTAACTGTTAGGCCAAAATCAGCACAAGCAGCAGAGAATCGATCCATACTTTGTTGCATCTCAGCTTCAGAGGCTGCATTGAGTGCACCATCATCTGCAAACAGAAAACCATGCACCAACACTCCCTCCACTTTGGTCTTGGCTTGTAGCCTTTTCAAGTTATTTACCCTCATTGTGGTAGCTGACCTTGATGCCATGTTCATCCTCATTGAAAGCGTTTGACAACGTGGCTGAAAACATCATGCTAAAAATCATGGAAGCAAGCACATAGCTTTGTTTCACTCCACTGGTGACTGGGAAAGCACGAGAGCATTGTCCATTATCCAGAACCTAGGCGAGCATGCTGTCATGAAATTGACGTACAATGCTGATGAATTTCTCTGGGAAACCAAGTTTTGACATAATTTTCCATAAGCTGTCATTACTGGCAGTATCAAAGGACTTGGTCAGATTGACAAACATATACTGACCTCTGTTCTGCTCCTGGCATTTCTCCTGGAGTTGTTGGGCAGCGAACACCATATCAACCATTCTTCAGCCCTTTCTGAAGCCACACTGGCTGTCTAGTAGGTGATCATCTTCCAGGTGAAGAATGAGCCTAGAAAGGATGACTCTGGCAAGAATCTTGCCAGCAGTGACATATTGAGACACCCCCGCCCCATTCTCAGGCCAATCTATTTCCTTTACCTTTATAGAGATGGACAATGGAGTCATCCGTGAACTCCTGGGGGAGTAACCCTAACCCTTTTGCCATATAACCCAGAAAATTTTAGTCACCTTTTATATGAGCGATGGACCTCCCGCCTTGTAAATCTCAGCTGGAAAAGAATCAGCACCAGGCTCTTTGTTCCATGAGAAGATCCTAATGGCATTCAAAACCTCTTCTTCAGTTGGAACTTCAGCTAGGGAGGGATTGACTTTGGTCAAAATCTGTTTTACTATGTCTCAAAACTAGATTAACTTGGTCTCCAAACATTTTAATATTTGCATAATAATTTTCCAAAGGGAGAGAGTGCCATGTCCCTAGATAACTGTTTCCACTGTAATAACTACAGTATCTGTAAGATTAACCACAAGTCATTAGAAGTAAACGAACATTTATTAAGCATCTAAGATGTGCCAGGCACTGGGCTAAGTGCTGCTTCCTAATTTCTCTGTGAGTATTCTGTAGGAAGCTTAAAGATAGATCCTGCTACAATGGAAATGGTTCTTTAAGTAACAGAAAACCAATCTATAACAATGATATGATGCCTTGGGAACTGTCAGTCCACTTTACACATATGCTCTTAGATTCAGTCTTCACCACATCCTTGTGAGCTGCAGGTGAGGAAAAGGATTACCAAGAAATCAAATATCCCAGCATGGGCTAATGAGCATCAGAGGGAAAGCCAGAAGCCATCATCTCTATCCTGAATCCAAGTCCAGAACCCCTTCCAACTGGATTCCATGTTAACTTCACATGGGGCTAAATCCTCCAACCTTTATCTTTCCAAAGCTACAAGTGCTAAAATCAATATTTCTAAATATGTCTCTAAATTTTATCTCCAGTTTGTTTCTAAAGTCAGGAAGAGCCCTTGTGTGCTATTAAGATTCTAAATTCTCCTTGTCCACTGATAGTCATGTTTTCAAATGTGAGGAGAATCTGTTCCAATCACTTTTACATTTATAGTATTACAGGTTGCTGCTATTATTATGATGTACGTTATTATTGAGCCTTAATCACTGAATGAGCACTGCCTTAGTCAGACCTGTTAAGAGACCTTAAGACCTGTTAAGGACCTTAGTTTAAGTAGGCCAAGGATCCCCGCTGCATCCAGGGCCATCTCCAGCTATCCTAATCTACATCTGGCCACTGGACCTGGATGGCTCCAGAGGTGAAAATGAGGCTGGTGGCTTTGCACAGCCTTTCCTCATTTAAATCCAATTCACTCACACATCATGACATCACCTTCCTGATGTCATGGTCCTCTTCTAGAATGAAGGACAAACATGAGCAGCAGCAGCAGCAGCAATTCTAGGAATGTCTTTGAAGTAGGAGTACAACTCTGTGGAAATAAGATACACCTTGGTATGTTGGGGAAACTTTGTTGCTGTTGGCCTTTCGTTCTCAAAGAGGACCAAGTGTTGACTTTCCTGTGAATTGGATTTAAGTGAGGCAGAGTTTTGAAAAGTCGTCAGCCTCACATCCTCCTCCAGAGTCATTGGAGTCCAATGGCAGGACAAAAGTCAGGATGACTGGTGACATCCAAGATGCAGTGGGTGACCTTGGCCTTTCTGAATGAAGGTCTTGCCAGGTCTCAGCTTGTCTGAGGCAACACCCATTCAATGGCCGAGGGCTAGGTAAGAATCCAGACAAAAGACAGCCTGATTTACCATCACAAAAATAACAATCTGGGAGGGGAAGACCTTCAGAGTTTTGGTCCAGAACAAAAAAACAATTGTTATTTACATTCCGAAGCCATCAAAACCTAAACAATTTAGCTCAAAGATGAATGTTATAAATCATTACTCAGCCAAGTAAGAATTAACTTAATAGATTAAGTATTCACAGGATGCACTTCATTTATTTTTCTTTAAAATTTTCCCTTTTATTAACAATTTGAGAACCAGCAACAGCATGAACATTAAGAAAGAAAGATGGGGCAGCTAGGTGGTGTAGTAGATAGAACACCAGCTCTGAAGTCAGGAGAACCTGAGTTCAAATCTGGCCTCAGACCAAACACTTGACACTTCCTAGCTGTGTGACCCTGGGCAAGTCACTTAACCACCATTGCCTTTAAAAAAAAAAAAAGATGATTGATGTGGAAACCAGGAATCTCTACAAGTTACAGCTCAGTTTTTGAAACAGATAGACAATTCAAATTTAACATGTTGTAGTTCCTACTCTTTTTTTTTTCTTTTTGGCGAGGCAGTCAGGGTTAAGTGACTTGCCCAGGGTCACACAGCTAGTAAGTGTCAAGTGTCTGAGGCTGGATTTGAACTCAGGTCCTCCTGACTCAAGGGCTGTGCCACCTAGCTACCCCTGGTAGTTCCTACCCTTGCCTGAATGTCACACCTCCTGAACTTTCTGCTGTTTTCTAATGTTTCATCTTTTTTAATGATTCATTAACACTCTTTTCACTGTGCCTGGCACACAGTAAGTGCTTAATAAATGCTTGTTGACTGACTTTTCTTTCTTCTCTTCCTTTTTTTCTAGTTTCACTATTACTATCACCTCTACCCCTCAAGTTTCCCTTCCTCAAAACCATAAAAACTCTCCCTTGCTACAAAAAAACATAGTCACATAAAACAAATCCATCCATTAACCACGTCTGAAAATGTGTATCTCCTGGTATACTTCTAACCTGGGGCAACTAGTTGGCGCAGTGGATAGAGTGCTGGGCCTAGAGTCAGGAAGACCTGAGTTCAAATATGGCCTTAGATGCTTACTAGCTGTGTGACTCTGGGCAAACCACTTCACCCTCTTTGTTTCAGTTTCCTCATGTATAAAATGAGCTGAAGAAGGAAAGACAAACCACTCTAGTATCTCTGCCAAGAGAACCCCCAGTCGGGTCATGGAGAGTTAGACTCTACTAAAAAACAATAGCAACATACCTCTAACCCATAACTTTTCTGCTGAGAGGTGAGGAAATAGGATTCATCATCAGTCTACTGGAATCATAATGTTATACCGAGAAATTAGCGAGTTGACCACCCAGGTTAATTTTAAATTATGGACTTTATTAGCGCGCGGCTGCCAGGGATATTCACATCCAAATCAAGCAACACCCATCAGGGGTCGAGCTAGGGTTTATATAGGGAGTATACAGGACAGGGAGGGGGATGGATCTTTGAAGTCTGGCAAGAGGAAGAGGTTTTTTTTGGGGGGGCTGGTCAAGGACACCCTTCTCCCTCTGTGTAGATATGATAATGCTCTGCAAACTTTCTCACGATGGAGGCTTCCAGAGATATGATCTGAGGGCTGTGGCCTGAGCAGCCAGATAAGGGTCTTGCTAAGGAATTTGGAGGTTTCCATGGCCTAAAGGGTTCTACTACCTAAATGGTAAAATAATGTTCTGCATTACAATAACTGGGGTCATGACTCACTATTCCACAAAAACTGCTAGTAAACAATTACTAGGAAAACAGTCTGGTACGAATTAGGTTTAGAATAATGACTCATACCAAATGGATACATGGGCCAGATATAAAAAGTCATAAATAAATTAGACAGGCTTAATTTAAATAGCTTGTGAGAATAAATCATACACTCCACAGTTCTGCGATGAGACAGAACATTAAAACTATCTCCCTCTGCCCCCCATTCTAGAGAAGCATGATGAAGATAGGAGTAGGCATTGATCACAGAAGAGGCAAATTAAGTCTATTGACAGAGTTTAAAGGGACTTCAGAATGCCACAGCATCCACTTGGATGACAACATGAACTCCTGTTTTCAGGGAAGAGAGAGAGTTCAGTCAATCAGTTAGAAAAGAGCTCTCAAGGCTGATTGCAAATCTTCAAATGCCTTAATTCTCAATTTAACAAGCCTAATGAAGTGAAGCCAGGGACACTTCCTTAAAAAATTCAGTATGATGGGGGAGTGTTTCAACTTGGAGCATTGGATGGTGAGGTACTGGGTAATGAGAGAAATAAGCAATAAAGTGTCCATGCATATTTTTAATTTGCAGAAAAAAAGCCAAGAAAAGGACAGAAGAGGCTGCAAATGAAAAAAGCAATCTTGTTATTACCTTGGGAAATTTAACACACATTCACATATGTATAGATACAGATATATACACACATACATATATATACACTTAAAAAACTATACACAATATGAGTTCACAGTTCTTATACAATTCTCTTTCTTATACTTTCATATTAAAATGTTTGTGTTTCTTGATGATTAA